GTTTTCATACTTGGGTGATAAGCAATCTACCGCGTCAAAACCCCGAGTTATTGAGTTTTGCCGATCCACTGCCTTTAAGCGAGACCTACCACCAGGTTGAAAAGTTTACTAACGGCACTGGTTTCCTACAGGGATTATCATAAGAAATGACTGGTAGAAGCTAACAAATATGTTACAACTACATTTGCAGCTTGAGTGCTTGGTACAATCTTAGGGGAACAAGATTTATTCAATTATTTGTTTGTTTATTCATACGCACATGGGCGTACAATCCAACAAAACAGCATCACATGTGGACACGAGGTAAAGCAGTAATGAAATTTGATTAGAAAATGGAAAAAAATTTGCTGGATGTCTTTGTTCGCACATCGGCAGCAACAAATGATAGCACGAGGGATAAGCTAAAGGACCCATTTTCGGGTCATGTAACTTCTGTACTGAAAAGCTAGTTCGATATTACAGAAAACGACACATTTACGCAATTCGATGCTTGCACCACCAAAGACATAGGTGTTTTGCGTGTTACCGGTTCATTTCCAACCGAACAAACATGTCAGCACATTATCAAAGTTACAAGATTGTATCATAAAGCGACTTCAAACTCGAGGTTTCTCATTTTCTCCTTTTTGGTTTTAAAAGCCAGTGGATTCTAAAGAAGGCTACACCTTCTATTCTGAAGCTTGGACGACCATCTATCTCGTACGATTAAGGCTCTCCAATGTTTGAGCCCAGCACATGCCAGCAAACGGAGGTAGTGTAGTTCATGCGCAGTATCCATCATGGAGCAGGACCGCTGATGGAACAAGGTATGACTGTCTTAAATATTGAAAAGAGTTACCAAGAAATCTTAGAAATGGCTTTCGTGCGGCATCTCATCTGCTCTCTTCTACGTATCGAAATTCAAACTCGTCTTTTGTTACGAAGCGGCCGGAAGAAAAATTCAGTGACAAGCCGCAGTCATCCACACGTTCTGTGCCATGTGAACACAGTTTAGAATCGCGCCCTTCTCCACGTCGGCCACCAGGTGACTGACTGACTGTTCAGCAAATTTCTTTTCCTACGAAATTTTTCATATTTTAGGCACATTCGAGTACGGTTATACGTATGGAAGTAGCAGCTACAGACACGATCAAGCGACATTTCTCGGCACTCCACGACTGCACACTCGCTACCAACCTGACTATCCTACCTACAGGTAGGGGTTTCTCTCAAACATCACTTGAAGCTCAAATCAGAAAAAACTATATGCCCTTGACTCGGCATTGATAGACGTTACAGAAAACAGCATTTTTGAGCAGGGTACAGACTGCGGACATCCAATAGCTTAAAAAATTGCAGGGTCTGTTGAAGGAGCATCATTTGTGTGCTCTCCATTTGAAGTACACAACTATGCTGTCACTTTCCTCTAGCTATGTAAATCCTAGAAAGACACATAACAGACTAAAGAACAATGCGAGTGTTGGTACATCACTGGATTTATTTCGCCCACCTCTTGCTGTCCAGGAATACTTTACCCCCGCTAAAAATACTCTGCTTTCACCGCTTATTGCTAACGCTAGATCATCTCTTTCTTAGGCTTTGGCCATACATTGCCCGTGTTACCGGTGT